GCAAAATGTATGGCCAGCCTTAGGGGCTGTCTTTGATTCCAACTAGAATGCATGCCCATACCTGCTATTTTTAGGTTTCACGTACCCAAGGCCAGCTGTGTGAAACAGAGGCACTGATTGGCATTTAAGAAAGGCAGTGTCTTTGCCTAACACATAACCCCCCCTGGGCCATGGCTGAAAGTCATAAATAGCAGGGTCAGCCACAATTCAGATGCACTCAAATATTTTTTGAACCCCTGACTATTACGCCTACAGCAATTGAGCTTGTTGAAAATGTTATTCAAAAGCTATGGGCACTAATATGGATTAAGTCTCCTTTGTAGCTATAATAGCCTTCACCCTTCTGAGAAAGCTTTACACAAGATCAAGTGTGTCTGTGGAAAATTGTGCCTATACAACCAAAGGAACGTTTTTCAGATCAGGTACTGATGCTGGATGAGAAGACCTAGCTTCTAATTAGTGTTCCAATTTATACCAAAGGTGTTCAGTGGCGTAAAGGTCAGGGCACTGTGCAAGATACTTGAGTTTCTTCACACCAAATGTATTAAAGCACGTCTTTATAGACCTGACTTTGTACACAGGGACAGAGTCATGCTGCAACAGAAAAATTACTTCCCCAAACTGCTGCCACAAGGTTGGATGTTCACTATTGCCCAAAATATTTTTGTATACTGCACTAGCGGCAGCCTTTACTGGAAATACCTGAACTCAATATTGTGAAGAAGTGTCTGCATACTTTCGACAATAAAGGTAGGTGTTATGGCCAATTGTCCACAAACTTATGACCATATAGTGTAGTTGAATGTGAATGTTGATTTAGGAAGCTGAAAGAGAAAGAGTTACAAAGCACGAGCAAAGGAAGTACACTCACAGTGACCCTCTGGGGTGCTCTCTAAATTCTTGCTGTGGATTGGAAAGAACTCAGATTGAAGTATAACTGAAGGCAAAACCTTTTTTCTTTCATTTTAGATACAGTAAGTGGTGTTGTAACCACTGTCAAATTTTCTTGCCATCTGTGTCCCATTGGGGAGATTTCCCTTCATTTCGTTTCTCAAAACAGGAGGTGAGAAGAAATTCCTCCAAAGTGAGGGAATCCCTGGTTGCCACCATGGTCATTAGTGTTTACATTGGAAGATTTTCCCATTATAACTGTTCTGGGGACAACCCAGAATTACTAAAAAAATACTTTCATTTTTGATGATATCAGTAAGCATAACAAGTAGAGAGGGCGAAACTCCATTACCATGGAAACAGGCAGCAATAAAATAATCTTATTCCACTCTATACAAAACTAAAAAAAAGGTTTTTCCTATAGTTATACTTTAATGTGAACTTTCTAATTTCATCACAGTTGGCAATGATAGTTAGATAATGTAACTTTTACACTGCTAAAGTTTATTTCTAGGCAAAATCTTTTTTTGTTTTGTTTTGAAAAGAGGGGGCAAGGAGTAGACCCTCTGTCAAGATTTTATTGGTGCCTGTGTCTTCTCTGGGAAGATTTGTCCTCTTGATTAAACTGGTAACCATTGTCACTGAGAAACAGATGAGGGGAAATAAAAATGTTAGAGTTGTCTTCAAAACAACAGGTAAAGGGTAATCTCTTAACCACTTGCCCTCCTGAGGATTTACCCCTTCCTAACTAGGCCATTTTTTTGCATTATGGCGCTGTGTTATTTTAACTGACAATTGCTCGGTCATGCAACACTGCACCCAAATGGAATTTACGTCCTTTTTTTCCCATGAATTGAGCTTTCTTTCGCTGGTATTTGATCGCCTGTCCGTTTTTTTTTTTTTTGCACTATGAAAAAAAGATGACTGACAATTTTGAGAAAAAAAACAATATTTTTGACTTTTTGCTATTAAACATGTCCAGTAAAAAAAATTTAAAAATCAAATTTCGTCATAAATGTAGGCCAATATGTATTCTGCTACATGTGTTTGCTAAAAAAAATTCCAATACGTGTAAATTAATTGGTTTACGTGAAAGTTATAGCGTTTAAAAATGGCGGTATAGATACTGGAATTTTTTTTTTCTTTTACTAGTAATGGCGTCGATCAGCGACTTATAGCGGGACTGCGACGGGCATTCTGACACTGGGGGGGAACGGACTTTGTGTCACTGACATCCTCAGTGACACCAATACAGTGGTCAGTGCTAATAAAAAGCACTGACACTGTACTAATGACATTGGGCAGGAAGGGGTTAACATGAGGGGCAATCAAAGGATTAACTGTGTGGTGGGAGTATTACTGAGGGGTGGTGTGTTGGTGCTTCCCTGTAAGCACACTGCTGGTAAACAAATCATCCCTCCTTCCCGTCGGAGATGCTCGGTAATCACCAGTCGCCGGCAGGGAATCACCGGCCGGGACCTAGTGATTGACAGCCCAACGCAAATGGCACGTGCCCCCTACCCGGAAAGACAAAATCACGTATATATATATGTGATTTTGCGTACCCCTGCGTGTATATATCCCTGGGATGCGCCAACTGTAGCAGTATATGCTGCTATGAGGGCGGTTAGGGGTTTATGCGGTTTCTATTGAATAAGGACACCTGTTTTTTCTAGAACAAATCTGTCTATTTACCATCCCTATAGAAGGCTATGGGCAGAACTGAGCAGTCGCAGACATCAAATAATTAAGCTGGAGGAGGGGGATGCAAACAAGATCTAGGTAAATATAGCCATTTGGGATGGGGGGGGGGGGAGTGGGCTTAGGGTGGTGGGGGCAAAAGGTTAAGATAACTTTGTGGGAAGGTTTCTGTATCTTTTAAAGGCTGCCATAAAACATTCTGAACCTTCTTTGGTGTCTTCTTAATTACTTTATAGACTTAGAGCCAACTTTTTTTTACATCTCAGTATTCTAATTATAAACAGTGTCCATTAAAGATCATTTTATGGCATTTAAAATAAAGCTTTAATATACCCCATTTAATAACATTTATAGAAATCAGTATGTTGAATATGGAGCTCTGTTCTGATCTTAATATATTAATATACAATAAGACAACTATACTTATGGTCAGTTCATTTAACACAATTTTTATAAAGAAATATATCTTACAATAAACATTATTAATAGATTATGAAAGTGTAAAATATTTTGAATATTAACTCAGCAAATATTCTAGACAACTATAAAAAAAGTATCAAAAATGTACCTTAATACCCGTTTTCCAGCACACAGTGTTTTAGTGTCTTATTAGTCCATAAACAGTGACATTTTAATACAAGTTCACCTGACTTTTCTTCTGGTCAGTGTGTTAGTAAAAGTTCTAGTATTAGAAGCTTTATTTGCTACTGCATGTCTACTCCTTAGATAATGCATTGTGTTCTGCACTATAAGCTCAGAGGTTTTGCTCCGAGATCTAGTAATATTTTTCTCTTGACACTTTTTTTGCAAACTGTTTTTTGTCATACTTTGATTTCTTTTTTGGGGATTGACTGAGACAAACTGTGACTTTACCAGTCTTTTCTTATGATCTTGAACTGTAATCTCATTTCTCTCGTTTCTCAGTTTCTGTTTATTTGGCTGTCGAACTCGACCAAAAGATTTGTTTGATTTTGGAAGAACTGAAGAAGATTTTTTGCTTGGCCGTTTCCTACATGTGGATACTCCTTTTGCTTGTTTTCCTAAATTTTTCACCATCCTGTGGGGATTATGTCTGGATTGTACAGCATCTCTAGATTCTATCTGTGACTTCCTATTTCTGGCGGATGAATTATGAGGATCTTTTGTGATCAACTTCTGCTGTTTCAAAGGTTTACTTTGAGATTTTGAAAGCAAGATACTGTGTTGGTTATCTTCCTTGGCCTTGGTGTTAACTGCTTTGCATGGAGAAATGGTAATGTGTGCATATGGTATTTCAGAATGCCCTGACTTTACAAAGCCAGTACCTATGTATTCTGAGTTCACAGATGATCCACTCCCCTTTATGCTGGAGCTTAAATCCTTTCCCTTTACAGATCCAAAGTGTAAAGAAGCAGCAGAACAACTGCTCAAAGACTTCTTAGAGGTGCTTGATTCCTTTTGTTCAGGATCTACTTTATCAACATTTCCTTCACTACTAAGACTTCTGAACAGCTTTCGAACACAGAGTGCCTTGCTACTTATTCCTCGTACTGAGTTTCTGGGAGGGGTTTTGAGAATACGATTAGTCAAAGGGTCATAATACTTCAGAGGTGACTGCTTATATTTATAAAATATTGAGTCCCTACTGTCGGTTGAGCACTGATTACGACTTCTCCTATAAGTACTTGGCTTTATATCTGGGTGTGAGAGAACATATACCATTGTCTTGGGTTGTAATGGAGTTAAAATTTTGGTGTGTGTGATTCTGGAAGTTTTAAAGCACACATTCTAGTTTTCATGTCTGGAGTCTTTTCCTCCTCCAGGTCATCAAAAACTCCCTGTGATTCATTTTTCAGGACTTTCTTTTTTACCACCGGATAGTTGACCAAACTTGTCTGAGTACCATGGCTGACTTTTACAACTTGGCATCTGGAAGCTTGCCTCCACACTCGTTTGCAAGGTTTAGGAAGCTTAGATTTTAAAAGTCTTTCTGATTTAATACTAACTGTATCAGGGTGATGGTCTTCACAAAAATCTTCGAATAATGGCAGCAAATTTATTTTTTGGGATTCATCTAAGTCCTCTGTCTTTGTCTCTACTTTTTTCTCTATTTCTCTGCTCTTATGTTTTCTCTTAGAGCCCACATTCACAGAACAATCGTCTTCGAAGTAACAATGGAACTTTCCCTTCCTAAACTCTTTGACTAGGGCTTCAATTTTTAAATCATCTTCATACATTACTTGGGACCAAGTTTTACCAACAAATGATGGAGGGATATGAGGCAAAGCTGGAAGAACTTCCTCATCCTGTTCGTGTTTTATAGCCTGTACTTCATTTGTTGGGCTTTCACGCAGGATACATTTAAGTTTTGATTTGTACTCTTCATCAATATTTACATCAGACTGTTTGTGCAAGTCTAAATTTGTTATTGCGACTTTTAAGTGGTCTTCTTTTAACTCTGAAGGTGCAACACAATCAAAACTTAGAGTAGAATCTCCAGTAATGGATGGGACATTTAAGGACAATACACTTTCTTCATCTTTTTCTGTTGTCTTGTCTGATGAAGATTCATGGCAGTATTTTTTGATTACTGCCTCAATGATTTCATTTACTAAGGTTCCATTATCTTTGCCCAAGTGAATCCCTTTGTTCTTGAAGAGGGAAAATCCTTTACATTTTCCATCATTTTTCATTTTGTTTGATTCATTACATAGCTCATGATCCCTGAGAAAGCATTCCTTGTTTTCCTGAGGTTTGAAAATCCTTTCATTCTTAAACAAAGCGCCTGAGGTTAGATGATGATAGCTGCCTTGGAAATTGAACTGGCTGTTTTGTAAGTCATTTGTAGGGTTTTTTGATGTTGGTATACCTAGGCACTTTTTACATTTCTCATAATTTGTCTCTCTCTGATTAGTAGACCCTGAACAATGCGCATGCGGAGTTTCAAAGGAACTGTTATTTGCAGTCAACTGGCTAGTAGAATATAAAGGTAAAGTGCTATAGTGAAAAGTGTGAGGTATGGTGTTTACCGTTTTATGTAAGGCTTTTTGGCAAGTAGTCAGAGGACTTCTGCAAATGCTTTGTTGGTTTTCCCCAGTTTTGGAACACTGGCCCTCTTTGGGGTTTGTGTTGTGTGATTGTGTGAATGTTTTTTCATTGCAATTGAACCTTGATCTATATGATTCAGAGATACAATGTTTGTCCAAGCCAGTTAGTCTGCCACTACTGGAAACAGCACCCTGATTTTCCTGTAAGAGAGTACAAGTTCTGTCTTCGCATGAGGAAGTAAGAACATTAACTTCTGGGATATCATCATATGTTGGTCTGAAAAAGACAAAAATGAATAATTTGTTTATTAAATTGTATCTAAACCCAGGAGCAAAAAAATATATATATTGCAGTTTACCAGTCCTTAGATGAGATTTAAAGTTTTTTTTCTCTTTATTTTCACCTAGTGATTCTGCCAGTAATGTGCTAGGGTGACAACATGTACTCATTGTACTGCATCTGTGAATCAGCAGTGCTGTGACCCAAGGCTGTCCACTCCTTAATTTGACTAAAGAACACCCCTCTCCTCTTCTCTATAACACAGGGGGGATATGTTCTGTAGTCCAGCCTTTTTTAACCAGGGGGTGCCCTCGGGGTCTTTGCAGGGCCTTGGCAAAATGCCTAAACATTGCCTCAAACTACCCAAAAATGATGTACATGCCAGTGGATCAGTCAAGCCTGCCTTTGGGATCACGTTAGCTGAGTGAGAGAGAAAAAAAAGAAACACTGGAATACTAGTAAATGCCAGTGCGCTGAGGTGAATTTTCTTTGTAAGAATAAATCACCTGTAATGTCGGTTGTCCTACATGTGTGGATGCTGCTGCATTTGGTAAAAGTATTAGTTTAATTTTTACATTTTAAAATGGGGTGCCTCGAAAAAGTTTGAGAAACACTGCTGTACTCTACAAAACAGAACTGGAGAAGTTAATAACACACTGCTTGAAATGTCAATGCAGCACAAGCAGAATGAAGAATAAGTTAGGAAATCTGAGTTCTCTATTATGTACACTTGCCTGCATATGTTTTAGCTCACAATGCCAATATAGGATTGCAAAAAGCAATGGAATCTAACTGAAACTCCTACTATTAAGTTGATACTAGTGTGTAGGGGATTATAATAAATTATTATATCTTTGGATTTTAGGTAATAACCCAGAATAATTTAAAAAAAACCATTTAATGAATTTTACTATTTGGCCATATAAAAAAACCTTAATTACAACATCCTTGAGACACATAGTAAAGCAATCCTCCGTAGCCTCCCTAGCGGTCTGATTATGTCAGTATTTCTGTGCTCAAAGCGGTACATTTTTTTGCATGGAAATATGTATTTTTTTTATTGCAGGCCTGTAATTTTTAGGAATAACTCACTGAAATCTGTCCGAACAAGAGTCTAGTAAACATCCTGGGTATGTTAAAATTTGAAACACGAAATCATAAATGATAATTTAATAAATAATCATAAAAAATAATAATATAATAATAAATGTAATTCAATATTATAATCAATCAAACCAAAAACACTGAAATTTGAAATATAGCGCCACGTTTGCACATCACTGAGCAAAGTCGCAAAATCCTTTTCAGTGTCTGATGACGAATTTCCCCATGAATCATTATCACTAAATTCTGCAAGCGGTTCTAATTTACTATCGCTGTTCTCTAGCTGGTCTAAAACCGCTTTTGACCTAAAGGGACGCTTTTTGGACGCCATGGACATTTCTCAGTTTCTAGGCAGAAAGAATGGTAAAAATGCAGGCAGGGCACAGGACAAAGCACTAGGAACAAAATGTATGTGAAATGGTTTGATACAGTAATGTTTTACTATCTGATTTTAGTGTATTTAGTGAATTTCACTTTTTCACATTGTTAAATTTCCTGCCGTTCCATCCCCATACATCCTTACGTCGCATTGAACAGAACCCAGAAGACGGATGCCGGCATTGGCAGGAGGACATTGCCAGGGACACTGCAGGAGGTACATCGCGGGAGCGCAGGACAAGGTAAGTGAAGAAGAGATCCCGGAGCAACGCTGCAAGGTATTCCCGAGTGTAGCTCGGGGTTACCGCTTGAGGTGCTAAAACTTTACCCCGAGCTACACTCGGGAATACCTCCAGGGAGGTTAACAGTCATAGGCGGCATTTTACTGACACCTATCATCACTCTACTTTCTTGTTCTTTTCTCTCTTACACTCCTAAACCACCTCCTTCTGTCAAACAAGCATGCTGGAAAACCATCAGCTGACCATCATCCGATCAGCCAATGGCTGCGAGCACTGAGCAGTGTGTCCTGACGGGGAATGGTCCCCCTGTCAGAACACAAACATTGCTTGTGTTAGTACAGTGAGCGATAAGGTTTTTTGTTTTTTTTTTAGTTCAGCACACTGGGTTGAATGAAAACAAAACCTATAGTGTGTACCAGGCTTTAACCTCCCTAGTGGTATTCCCGAATGTAGCTCGGGGTAAAATGTCAGTGCCAAAAGCGGTAACCCCGAGCTACACTCGGGCTTACCATGCGGCGCTGCATAGGGAGTCCCTGCAGAGCTTACCTTGTCCTTCGCTCCCGCGATGTGTCCCCTGCAGCGTCCCCGGCCATCTCCTCCGGCCAATGCCGGCATCCGGCTTCTGTGTTCCGGCCCCTGTGACGTCGGGACGTACGGGTGCCGCCGCCGGCAGGAAATTTGAAAATTTAAAAAAATTTCTTTTTTTTCAAAACAAATTTTTCATAGTAAAACATTTCACATACATATTGTCCCTAGTGCTTAGTCCTGTGCCCTGCCTGCATTTTGTCTGTTCTTTCTGCCTGGAAACTGAGAAACGTCCATGGCGTCCAAAAAAGTGTCCCTTTAGGTCAAAAGCGGGTTTAGATCAGCTAAAGAACAGTGATAGTAAATCAGAACCACTTTCAGAATTGAGTGATAATGATTCGTGGGTAAATTCGTCATCAGACACTGAAAATGATTTTGCGACTTTGCTCAGCAATGTATGAACTTGGCGCCATATTTCAAATTTCAGTGTTTTCGGTTTGAGTATATTATTGAATTAAATGTATTATTATTATATTATTATTTTTTATGATTATTTATTAAATTATAATTCATGATTTCGTGTTTCAAATTTTATCATACCCGGGATGTTTAATAGACTCTTGTTCGGACAGATTTCAGTGAGTTATTCCTAAAAATTACAGCCTACAATAAAAAAAACTACATATTTCCATGCAAAATAATGGTACCGCTTTCAGCACCAAAAATCTGAAATAATCATACCGCTAGGGAGGTTAAAGAACAAAGCATTTCTTCAAAAACTGTTGGTGGATAATTTAAAAAAAATCACTCTCAGCTGAAAACTAAGATTATTTTCTAGGCAGAAGAGGGCTAATTTATTAGAGATAGTGGGCATAGTTTGACAGTGGTCAGCTGGACAGGAAGTGAAGGGAAATCCAACTAAAGGTTCAAAGAGATAGATACATTAGCCACACACCATATGGTACATGTAACCATTTTACTTATAGGAGTGCTGAAGTGATCTAACCGATGGCACAATCATTCATGAATAAAAAGGTGTATATTTAGATATGTCTAGATATATATCTAGTGTGTCTAGATATAGTTAATTAGGTCCATTCATTATAAAGGACGTCAGTTTTCACTAGCATGATCAGCACAAAAAGCTAATGTTTCATGACCATGCTGTGTCCCTATATTAAGGTAGCATGATAAAAAACCCTTTCCCACCCTATTCAAACAAAAAAACTTGACTGCACTTCCACTTAAGTTCTAAAAATGACTCGCCTGTTTTGAGTGGGGAAGGTATGTTTTATAAAAAGACAGAGTGTTAGGCATGTACAACTCTTACCTAGTATCGTGGTAGTTTTGAGGATGGTAGAGATGAACATCCTGCAAGAATCGCTCCATCAATGTGCTTGTACTGAATCGGTTCTTATGTAGCTTGGATATTCGTCTGTGCTGGTCACTTGCAAGGTGCTAGAGAGAAGATTAAACATTAAATATAGTCAATTAAAATACATTACCACAAGGTATAAAAAAATACAAATGCTAAATAAAATGTACTTCTGTATCCCTTAACCACCCTAATACTTGTACCAGCATGTTATACCACTTTCCTTTCCAGGCCATTTTTCAGTTTTCAGTGCTGTAATAGTTTGACGGACAATTACTCACTAATGCAACAATGTACCCAGATAAGTACAATATTCTACCCTTTTTTGTGACAGATAGCGCTTTGATTTGGTGGTATTTAATAATAATTGTTTTTTTTTCCACTATATGAAGAAAAAAAGCCTCAACATTTTTGAAAAACAAAACTGTTTCCCTTACTTTCTGATATAAAACATATCAAATAAAAATAACATCACAAACTTGCAAGTGTGAGTCTTCTGTTATTAATGGCAGAAAGTTCCCTAAGGGCTAGTGCACATCATATGCTTTCCAGTGCTTTTTTCCACATCCAAAATGCATAGAAAGTAGGTTACATGGTTTTCAATGGCATAGTTCACACCAGTGCTTGCAGTTTCAGTGTGTTCCGATTTCAGAAAAAAAGTGGAACATGTTGCAGTTTTCCTGCACAGAACTGTACTGGAATGTGGTAAAATTCATCAATAACACACCGGAACACACCTACACACATAAAAAACGCACCAGACCCCAGTAAAGTGAAAAAAAAAAACTGGAAAAAAAGCATCCGGGAATGCATCAAAAGCACACCGAAACGCATCAAGAAAAGCATAAAAAACACGCATGCAGAAATGCATCCGCTGGTGTGAACTGGTCCCAAAGGATGAAATTGCATTGCTTTAAAATTACATTGTGTGCTAGATATCATGGATGAACCCAAAAACACTTTAAACCACCCCCACAACAATCCAACAATCGTTGGTGGTCAATGGAACTTTAAAACATCCAAAAACAATCCCACAATCATTGGTTGCTGCATCCCTTTTGGAATAATTGCTTTAACTTCCTATCTTGTAGACACAGCAGGCAAGAAGAGGGAATATTTACAGATTATGGTAAATCACAGCTTTTCAAATTGTCATTGGAACAAGTGCCGCATTGAAAGATTTCCCTTCTATTCCTGTGACAATTCAACATTTTGGATTTTTTCTCACTTCATTATGTTGACAATTGTCAGCTGGATATATAAAGTGGCTGAATCTCCCCAACAGGTACACTAACAACAATGCAAACCTGACAGAGGTTCTAACTCTTCCCTACTCCATCCAAAACTAAAAATCATACATTTCAGATTAATGAATTCCCTTGTATCTTTACACATTCTGGTGGGGTTAGTTGACTTCTATGTAGTAATTAGTGACTTAAAGCAGAATCAAACCCTCCTATCTGTAATCATGGCATGCCTTGATGGGTTTAATTCCACTTTGAAGGCCGGATGCTAGTTATGATCTTTATTGCATACATACACTGGACCAGCATGGATCAATGTATGCATATGACATACCTGAGGGGACTCTCATGAATGGCAATCACTGTAAAAGTCTGCACTACTACAGTGATAGCCACCATCCTGTACAGGTACTGTGTGAGTGGCTTCCCTTCTACACAATCACCACAAGGGGTTGCTTCTGCTTGGCCGTTCCATCATTGATATACGCATTGTATTTTTTCAATGCATATTTACAGGTGTCCACCTCATCCAAGTGGACACTACCTTGTATTCATTTCAGAAAAAAAGTTGTTTGCAGTTTTCCTATGAATGGTGGCAGTGGTAAAGCGAGTAACACCTTGTGGTCTTTGCAAGAAGTAAACTGTCTGCACAGAATCCGGAATGCAGGACTCAGATGTTAGAAAAGCATATCACTGTAGTTGTCAGTTTCCTCGAGTGGCTCCTCAAAGGATGAGAATTAGACATGCATACTTACATTGGTCCAAGCTGAAACCAATGTAAATGTTTAAATAAATATCATACTTGGAGTTCAGGCTGAAGTTTAAAAACTGCATATATTGCCTTTCCTAGCTTCTCCTTTCTTCCTCATCTTGTAACACAGCAGGCTAAGGCATTTTTTATGTAAATCACTCTTTTTTTATTACACAAGTGCCATTTTTTTTGACCCTGTGACATTCATTAATGGATTCTTTTTGCTTCTCTGGGAACGTCAGGCAGGATATCAAAGGGTGCTGTACATTAGTTCCCCAACAACACTAACAACAGCAAACCTGACATTGGTTCTAACTCTTCACCTTAAAACTAAAAATCCTCAGCCCAGATGCAAGTAGGGGCTGGTTGACTGTTGGAGGAGTTATGCAAATATCAAAATGCCTTGATAGGTGGAAAGCGTCCATTTGGAGAGTGAGCATTCCTAGTCAGACTGCATTTATATGTGGACCACATTTAGTTGCAAAACCTCCATTACTGAAAGAACTGAAATCCAGTAAGCAAAAGGGGAGGTGCCAGGGAAGGTCAGGCTGCCTTGATGGAAGATGGTGTTGGGTGATGCTGGAGTCCTCCAGCCATGGAAATGAGTAGACTCTCTCTAACTTCCTGCAGCTTCTAAGGCAACAATAAAAATTCACTAGTGTGCAGTGAAATCAGTAACCATCCTGTACAGTACTGTGTGAGTTTCCCCTTCTACAGGACCACAAGGGGTTGCTTGCTTGGCCTGTACCCATCATTGATAGTATCTTCTTGGCTTCTCCCCATTAAATCTTCTGACCTCAAAGTGGTACACTACTGTTTCATTGAAAAGATTTCAGGTGGTGGCAATTTAATACTGCATAACCCCTTGTATACTGAATCCATAAAGCATACTTTCTTGGCAAATGGCAGGTCATGCTTAATTGCCAGCCTCTGACCCTTGAACATAAGCCATTTGTAAATAAACCCTTCGCTCCAAGAAAAATATGCTTAGTGTGACACCACAATGTAAAATGTATCTCAGACAGGCCGAAAAAACAGAGCACATTGTCAAATACCATTTATTATAACCCAGGTTAACAGCTATCTTTACTTTCAATGTTAATTTTTCTTACCTTTTCTAGGTTAATGTAATGTACTTGGCAACAGCTGCAGTATCCTTGTCTATAATACCCTGGGGGTAAACTGCTTCCCAACTGCTCTTGGACTTGTCCATTACCACTTAAAAAATAAAGAAACATGAATACATCTCTGGAAATCACAGATATTTTCATTATCATCCACCAGTCAGCATTAGTAGAGATGTTTATCATTTAAATTCCATCTTTTTTGTTTAAAATGGTGCAGGCTATGGTTTTCCAGTGAAAAGCATCTTTATACAAAAAAGTAATGTTAAGGATTATGATTTTCGTATGCTTTTCAAAATTTGGGTATACAAATCAGGATATCAGCATTTTCGACATACCGTTTTATGATGTCAGTCCTCACAGTGCAAGAACTGGCTCATGAAACCAGATTTTGATTTTTTTTTAAGGTTAGCTCTGATTGGCAGCAAAATGGTTTGTCATTAACACCACAAAACATTTTGTTCTGTTTCCCTTTGCTGTACAAAAGGCACTCTGCATGGTTTGCAAGGCTTTTGCTCAAAAAGAGCAGTGAAATGCATCTTTAAAATCAAGCCCTTCACTGTGCCACGGGAAAGGTAAAAGCCACAGGTCAAATCTAATGTTTAGCATTCAACACAATCATTCAGTATCAAAGAAGAAATATGCATTAAACTAGAGAAGTGGCATTTTATTGATGTAACAGTTACAGGTGATTATCTTTTTTTAATTAGGCTTTTCAAGTGATTTTTTCAGATACTTGTTTTATTCATAAATTGTGTGCTTTAGCAAGTTCATATTCATGGTCTATGCCTACTATAACTAAAAATAACAGTGGGACTGGAAGTACAGAGCTATGTGTGACTTCACAGGCACAGCTCAAACCTCTTATCTTATCAAACACATTCCAACCATACTTAGGGGTCAATTTATAATGAAGAATGAATATAAATATCCACTCTTCTTTATACTCCACAGGGTTACTCCATACTGTAGCTTGCTTTTTGCAGCCCATTCATAAAAAAATGCAGGCCACAGTATGGTGCATACCAAGTTCTCTCTGCTTACAGCCTAACTCCAGGTTTTAGTGAACTTTAATTAGTTTGATTGGACCAAGCTGGTCCAAACAATTTCCTTTGCTAGGACATGCAGCAGCTGTGTGTGCTGTAAAAAATGGATGTAGCATCAGCTCCTTACAGTATACAGTGCTGTGTTGTGGCAGCGGGATGAGAACTTCTGTGCTGTGCTAGATTATTTTGTTGGGGCAGATGTTGCTACAAATGCCAGGTCATTTTTGTGACTATTAATGGCAACATCTCCACTAACCATTTCAGCAAAGCGGATTTCAGATAAGGGCTTATCTTTGGCTTTTACAATCTCTACTATGGGGTACAGCCAGCAATATAAACATTTATTTTAGTAGACTGAGAAGGCTTCGAACCTCTAACAGGTTTTTTTTGTATACGCTATATTGTCAAAAGTATTGAGACACCCCTCTAAATTGTTGGATTCAGATGTTTCAATCACCTCCATGGCATCAGGTGTATAAAATCAAGCACCTAGGCATGCAGACTGCTTCTGTAAACATTTGTGAAAGAATGGGTCACTCTCAGGAGCTCAGTGAATTCAAGCATGGTACCATGATAGGTTGCCATCTGTGCAATAAGTCCATCCGTGAAATTTCCGTGCTACTAAATATTCCACACTCAGCTGTTAGTGGTACTATAACCAAGTGGAAGCAACTGGGAAAAGCAACTTAGCCACAAAGAAGTAGGCCATGTAAAATGACAGAGCGGGGTCAGTGCATGCTGAAGCACACAGTGCGCAGAAGTCACCAACTGTCTACAGAGTCAATAGCTAAAGACCTCCAAACTTTGTGTGGCCTTCAGTTAGCACAGCAACAGTGTGTAGAGAGCTTCATGGAATGGGTTTCCATGGCTGAGCAGCTGCATCCAAGCCTTACGTCACCAAGTGCAATGCAAAGTGTTGGATGCAGTGGTGTAAAGCACACCACCACTGGACTCTAGCGCAACGGAGACATATTCTCTGCATGTATGAATCACGCTTCTCTGTCTGGCAACCCGATGAACATGTCTGGGATTGACAGTTGCCAGAGAACAGTACTTACCTGACTGCACTGTGCCAAGTGTAAAGTTTGGCAGAGGGGGGTTATGGTGTGGGGTTGTTTTTCAGGGGTTGGGCTTGGCCCCTTAGTTCCAGTGAAGGAAACTCTTAAGGCATCAGCATACCAAGACATTTTGGAAAATTGCTCCCAACATTGTAGGAACAGATGGGGATGGCCCCTTCCTGTTCCAACATGACTGTGCAACATTGCACAAAGTAAGGTCCATAAAGACATGGATGAGCAAGTCTGGGGTGGAGGAACTTGACTGGCCTGCACAGAGTCCTAACCTTAAACCAACAGAACGCCTTTAGGATGAATAAAAGTGGAGACTGTGAGCCAGGCATTCTAGTCCAACATCAGTGCCTGACCTCACAAATGTGCTTCTGGAAGAATGGTCAAGCATTCCCATAGACACACTCCTAAACCTTGTGAACTGCCTTCCTAGAAGAGTTAAAGCTGTTATAGCTGCAAAGGGTGGGCCAACTCAATTAATTGAACCCTACGGACTAAGACTGGGATGCCATTAAAGTTCATGTATGTGTAAAGGCAGGTGTCCCAATACTTTTGGCAATATGGTGTATGTCCTCATTGTGTAGATTCTCCTCATTTCCTATGTTGTCAGGGTGGTCAGAATGGAAGGAAAATGTCCACAACATGGACACAGACAATAATAAAAATATGACTGAGATTGTAATTCCTCTTTCTTCTATTATGGACTTAGGTTTTTGCCTGCATTTCCTCTTTAAACTTTGAACATTTTTTACTTTACTATGAAAGTTAATGAGCTAAGAGTTAGGGCACAGGGATTATTTGTTCTATAAAAAGCTTGCAGTGCTGTTGAAACTAGTAAACGTTTTAACACATATTTATTTCTATTACTTAATCTCCAATGAAATCCACACACTAGCTCAATGTTCTGTAAATATGTAATCATTGTAATACTGCATGACAAATAAGATGGGTTTGACTGATTACATCTTTCAAATTTCCAACATAACATATATAGCTATTTTTCTACCAACATCTTTTGCTAAAAAAATATTGTATAGTTACCATCCATTAGAAAAGTGTTTGAAGTCCACTGCATTGTAGATCCAAATATGTTAGGGTAGAACATAATGGTAACTTGCTATAGAATAGGCAAAATCCGTAAAGTGGCAATATAGAATCCGATAATCTTATTCCTTTACATCCAAGAAATGATGGATATGTGGATTTAGAATAAAAACAAAGATATCTTCTCTGAAAAGATCATCTTCTGGCTTTAGAAGTAAAATAATATGTTGCTCTCATATACACTTCAAACTATTATGTCTGCTAGGCACTTAAAATATACTGGTGAATCCACCACTTTACACATAGCATCTTCGGCCACTTTAGCACAGTTTCATGTCAAGCAGAATCCTTTACAAATACTTTTTCAAACATGTTTAGCATAAAACACAACATTTTCAAAGGATTTTTATCTTATGAAGCTCAAATGGCACTTATTTATTCTTTGATTGTTATTGTACATTGCACAGGAATCTTAAAAAGTAATTGTATTTCATAGATTTATATAAATTCGAACATAATATGTAAACTGGGCATGATCTAAAGAAACAGTTAAGAAGAAATCTTAGAACACAGATCATACAGGTATTAACAACATTTGACATGCTTACTTATAATATTCTCTATCCATTCATAAACAGACTGCATAAGTGGTGGATAGAGTTGCAAAAGGGCTGCTGTGTTAAGACCAATAGTTGTCCCCACCTTTCAACTACTGGTCAAGTAAAAATACTTTTAAACATATCTGGCAACGTGCCTCACTGTATATAGTTTTGGTCAGAAAATCATTTGCATCCATTTTTTTCAAAGTTTCTACTCTTCGGATATGTCAGGATCAGCCCTTCCTATTGCAGGCTAACAACGTTAACCCATGCCTTACAAATCAGCAGTAATGTTGGCAGCCTGCTGAGCAATAGATTCACAAAAAAAAATATTTGCTTAAGAAAACTGTATAAAGCAAGACATAATGTCAAACATACTGAAAACTATATTTTGGATTTACATATACTTTAAACAATGCAAGCCCATAATGGCATTTGGAAGAGCTGTAGATAGTGATAGTAGAAGCATTATTTGCATGCATCCTATAGACACATAAGATTTGATTTACAAATAGACTGTGCACTTGCAAGTGCAGTTGTATTCATTTTCCTGAGAGTTTAGAGAGTGTGTAAAGCTCTACTGATTTCCATCATCCAATCAGGTGTAAGCAAACATGCTGGTTTTTTTTCCTTGTGCTTGGGTATTATTTAGGAAGAGAAATTTCACCACTTTTTACTAAGCTCTGGGGAAAATGAGTGCAACTGCTCTTGCAAAGTGCACAGTCTTTTTGGCTTTAGTAAATAAACCCCAAAACATTTGTCAGGCCAGTGTAGTAGTCCTAAGTAATTCTGACCATACCAAGTAATTCTGATCATATACTAGTCAATTATTTGTGCAATTCACCGCTTGATACAATTGTTTAATCAATCTGATGTCTGAAACAATAGTCCAATGCAAACTAAATGGCAAATTTGCTTTCATTAATCCACTCAATTTACAATTAATCCAATCACTTACAATTTCACTTTCAATAACTTGATCCATATACCAATGGATTGACTTGACACTGATTTGAGTTTTCAAACCCATCAAATTACCTTTATCTTCAATTTAAGCCTATTAGTCAGATTAAAGCTAAAAAATACTATTAATTTTAGTTTCTGAATATTGAAACAATAGTTTCACTGAACAATTTGCGTGTTGCCAGTATTAGTGCAGTTTGCTAACTGGGACATTATTGGCACATTTTTTGTGTGGCCAAATATATGGTATAGTAAGACTATGTGACTTCCACAGATAAAACTTACCTGTTACCGCCATCCAATTTAACCTCATTTTTCTTATCCACGCCTGCAATAAAAGAGCACACATAAATATTAGAGTTTTTTAACATATCAGAATTATATAACATAATATAATATACAGTATACTGTGTAATACCAATAATATAATATTTCAGCTCAATTGTGTTATAATGTTTTATCATGATTTATGTCAATTTCAAGTCCAACTCTGTAATCTTGAGCCCAAGATATACCTCTAAGGCTAGGTTCACACCTATGCAGGTTGCATTTGAGTCATTTCTGCATTGCGTTTTGTGTTGCATTTTTGCACCTTTATTTTTTAATGCATTTTTTACCTGTTTTGATGCTTTTTGGGTTTGTTTGTTTTTTCATTTTTTTGTTGCTAGGCAGATTTAAAATGCAAAACGGATCAAAAACGAATCAAAAAACAAGGCAAAGATGCAGCAAAAACGCTCTACATGCTTTTCTGCACCGTTTCCATTGAAGTCTATAGAATCAAAAATGCAATTTTTTGCGATAAAAAAAAAGTCCCGGACCCTTTTCAAAGAAACGCACCAGGTGAAAACACCGGAGATGTGAATATGTCCCATAGGAAATCATGTTAACTGAACTGTACTACGTTTCTGCAAAATGCAAAACACTGCGTAATACCCTTAGTTGTGAACCTAGGGTCAGCTAGGTTTGACAGCATTCCACATTTGTTAATTTGGATTCCGAAAGGGTTCTGACAGCTGATCTCTTCCTCCATATGCACTACATTGCCAAAAATATTGGGACACACCTCCAAATCATTGGATTCAGGTGTTCCAATCACCTCCATGGCCACAGGTGTATAAAATCAAGCACCTAGGCATGCAGACTGCCTCTACAAACATTTGTGAAAGAATGGGTCACTCTCAGGAGCTCAGTGAATTCAAGTGTGGTACTGTGATAGGTTGCTACCTGTGCAATAAGTCCATCCGTGAAATTTCCTTGCTACTAAATATTTCACGGTCAACTGTTAGTGGTATTAGAACAAAGTGGAAGCAACTGGAAACAATAGCAATTCAGCCACGAAGTGCTAGGCCTACCTATCATGGTACCATGCTTGAATTCACTGAGCTTCTGAGAGCGACCCATTCTTTCACAAATGTTTGTAGAAGCAGTCTGCATGCCTAGGTGCTTGATTTTATACAACTGTGGCCATGGAGGTGATTTGAACATCTGAATCCAATGATTTGGAAGGGTTTCCCAATACTTTTGGCAATACAGTGTCTATCTATTTATCTATCTATCTATTTATCTATATGTATATGCAATGTAATGTAATGTAACGCTGCTGTCTTTATTTGAAAAATGTTGAAAGGTTTTGATTTTGTTTTTACATTATTATTAATGTTTGTGAGCATGGGAGCGTTGATTACTGATTGTGTCCAGCTGTGAGGTGTAATCAGGAATAATGTGATTTAAATGGCTATCAACCTGTCAGTGATATGTTACGATTAGGTGATTGTAACTTGAAACACATTAACATTCATTCCTCATCCATGTGCTTAGATTGTACACCCCTTGAGGGTTAGGGACTGATGTGAATATACTATATATATGTAAAAGTGCTGCGTAAATTGATGGCGCTATATAAGTACCTGAAATAAATAAATAAATGTGCTGTGATTCTGTGGATATTTTAATCCTTGCAATAAAGAATCCAGAATTTTACTGTCAGTGTGCAGTCATCCATCCCTGCCCTCTTGATCTTTTATGGTATGAGCTGGACCGGCACCTTACTAGTGTTTAGGGCTTGTTGTGGTGGACTGACCTGGAGCGGTTTGTAGTGTATTGTGATCTCTTCCCCAGGTTTGCTTTAAAACCCAAACAAATCTTACTCTCCAAGCAAATCCAAAAACTCCAACTACACCTCCAGATCTATTATAGAAAACAGTCAGGCTCCAAAGCTGCATTAAGATGTTTCTGCTTTGCTACAGCTACTTTTTCTAAAGCTGATCATACATGGATCAAAATTCAGCCAAGTCAGCAAGGATGGGCTGAATTTCAATCCATGTATGGCCTAGTTGGTTGTACACAAATCAATCTACAACCAGCTTTTTTTGAACGACCAGTGACACTGGCTATAACCAGCAAAACTGGTCATTGTATTCTGCTGGCAAGAAAAACAGTTCATTCACATTGAATGTTTGGATGGGAGAATCAGTTGGTTTTTTTTGAACAAAAAAAAAAAGTGAATCATGCATGGAATGTCTAAGAATCAGCTCTGTTGCTGCCAAAACACATTTTGTGTATGAAAATTAATATTCCTTAAAACTTTCTGCAGAAGACTTGTTAAACTTTCTTCTAATTTTTTAACTCCAATATACAGGATCACTGGTAAACAAAATCGAAAAAAAATTTCTGTCACAGAAATGAACAGGGGTTATTCTAGTTCTGTTTTTGGTTGCAAACTCAGATATCTGCTTAGAAATTCTCCAGCACGTAACGTTTTGCAGTGACATCCAGTTGAAATTTACACTATGTTGCTTATATTTACAATATGCAAATATAGGTGTATATTGTAATGTAGTCTTTTAAAAGGTATTTGTATATGATTTTCTGCTGTGTTGCGCATCATCAGGAACATCCCTTTTAAGGGTCCAACAATAGTCTGCAAGCATACTGGAGCTACACTTGCCCTGGTACCTAATTTCCATTACTGAAATATCCCGATTAAACCGTTCCCCGTGTTCATCACTGATTGCTCCTAGATTTGCAGGGAAAAAATCCAGGTGTGAATCCAAAAAGTGCATTTTCAAAGACATGTTACACCCCAGTTTCTGGTAAGATTTCAGTAGAGTATCCACTAATTCTGCGTAGTTGTCTGCCTTGCTATTTCCCGGCAAACAGTCTTAAAGGACTCCCATGCAGCTCTTTCAGTTTTATTCAACTGACCATCAAAGTTTTCATCTTTCATCAGTTTCCTAATGTCAGATTCTACAATGATCCCTTCTTTGATCTTCGCTTCACTGATCCTTGTAAATGTATTTCTTAGATATGCAAATCCAAGTCCACTTTTATCCATCAACTGTAATCAAAGTCCTCCTGCGCTTAGGTGAACCTGTGGCTAAAGCTGCTAACCACCTAACCATATACAGTCCCAATAAAAATGGTCAACCCAAAATGTAAATTGTGGTGCTGCGCTAATAAACTATATGTGAACTCCAATACGTGATATTCAGTGAATGGATAAACAATATCCCCTTATAAATCAATTAAATTAAAATATGACATATACCCCAAAATATACCTCTACACCACCTCTACTAAGTGAGTACACAAACAAAATATTCCACACATACATACACAATAATTATGCACATATACTTAATGCCGTGATGCCGAATGAACTCCTGAACGGCAACACCAGTGAATAAATAAAGTGACATAAAACGCATGTAAACATTACATGCCCTGGATAAGCAGGTTGAAAGAAATAATAGTGATTCCACTAGGGGATAAAAATCAAAGTGAATCAGTGAAACCACTGTGGTAAACATGAGAAAAAAAAGGAAAAGAGGAATCAAAAAGGTAAAATGCAAGTATATGCTCAAAATGATTTGTGAATCTAAACAATGCCAGTGATCCCACTATGGGATAAATACAGTGGATCCGTGAAACCACAAATGGTGGTAATTGTGAAAGAAAGAGAAAATCAGGCTCACCGCCTGTAAATCATTAACAATCACTTAAATAAACGATAGTGACCCCCTACTGGGGATAAGTGAACATCAAAAAATAGGCTAAATGCCTATAGATACTGATGTGATTCATAACCCCAAATGGGCACTTTCCATATATCCACAAACATAAATAAACAGTGGATAATCCACCCACCAACATAAACTAAAACTACAAAAAATTATTGTGTCCTAAAAAATGAGAAAAAAAATATATAAAAATAAATGTCCAATCTAAAAAAGTGTCCAGAACCATCCAAATGGAGGTGTACTGTAGTCCTGTGATCACCAAACTGTGCAACAGGATACTATGAATCCCACTCTAGGTGCAAAGGCCCCTCACCTCCATGTGGTGACCCTGCAGGGTCAAATCGCCTTAGACAATCAAATACCACCGGTCTGGAACCCGGACTCCCTCCAACGGATATCAGGTCCACTGCCATGTCAGTTCCCTCCCTGATGGCCAAGGTCCCGCATACAGCTTCCTCTCAGTGGTCCTAGAAGTGTTAGCTCCTCATTCGCTCAGAAAGAGAATGCAAAGTGCTCCCATAGTATATTAACGTTTAATGACTCAAGATGGATAAAAACGTATCAAATTCCACTCACATTTAACTTGAAATTATAAGCTTTTAGTACCTATCCACATGCTGTGGGTATACTAATACAGTACATTGACCTCAATAGGAGTTCCAAGATGGCGTCCGCTCCGGAAGTTGAGTCAGAACGCCGGACGTTGTGTCACCACAAGCCCAAGTGTTACATCACGATGTCACGTGACTTCATCAGGGTCTTTTGGGCAGGATTCAGAGCTAAACACAAGGGGATTGCCATTCTTCTCCAGAGACAGATTGGTGGCTATTACTGCAGAACTCTGCATACCAGTTCAGTACAGTGGTGACATTGATCACCACACTGGGATCACAGCAGTTTCTCTGCATCAGTACTGCCACTATCCAGGCTTCACACAGACATCTCTGCTTGCACACTGACGGTCTATCAGGCAGTAACTCTGCACACCCATTTGGGTGGATGCCCAACCTCTTTCTGACAACTCTCTAGAGACACTGCATGCAGACACCTTTGCACCCCAGTTACCAGGAGATCTTTGCTTTGAGCATTTACCACAGCCTATCTTTTATGGTCATTAATTAAAATTAGAATATTACATAAGACATGTACATGTGCATGTACAGTATAATATGCACTCAATATTTGGTCGGGGCTCCTTTTGCATGAATTATTGTATCAATGCAGAGTGGCATGGAGGCGATCAGCACTGACACTGCTGAAGTGTTATAGAAGCCCAGGTTGCTTTGATAGTGGCCTTCAGCTCATCTGCATTGTTGGGTCTGGTGTCTCTCATCTTCTTCTTGACAATACCCCACAGATTCTCTATGGGGTTTAGGTCAGGCGAGTTTGCTGGCCAATCAAGCACAGTGATACCATGATCATTAAACCAGGTATTGGCACTGTTGGCAGTGTGGGCAGATGCCAAGTTCTGCTGGAAAATGAAATCAGCATCTCCATAAAGCTGGTCAGCAGAGGGAAGCATGAAGTGCTCTAGCATTTCCTGGTGGAGGGGCTGCGTTGACTTTGGACTTGATAAAACACAGTGGACCAACACCAGCTGATGACATGGCTCCCCAAATCATCACTTACTGTGGAAACTTCACACTGGACCTCATGCAACTTGGATTCTACGCCTCTCCACTCTTCCTACAGACTCTGAGACCTTGATTTCCATATGATATGCAAAATTTACTTTCAACCGAAAAGATGATTTTAAACCACTGAACAACAGTCCAGTCCTATTTCTCCTTAGACCAAGTAAGACAAGGAATACTACAGTTGTACCATATGTCCTGGATACGTCTGTGTGTGGTGGCTCTTGAAGCACTGACACCAGCCATAGTCCACTCATTCTGAATTTCCCCCAAGTTCTTCAATGGCCTTTGCTTCACAATCCTCTCAAGGCTGCGGTTATCCATGTTGCTTGTGCACCTTTTTCTACCACACTTTTTCCTTCCACTCAACTTTCCAATAATATGTTTGGTTACAGCACTCTGTGAACAGCCAGCTTTTTTAGCAATGACCTTTTGTGACTTACCCTCCTTGCGGAGGGTGTCGATGACTGTCTTCTGAACAACTGGCAAGTCAGCAGTCTTCCCCATGATTGTGTAACTTACTGAACCAGACTGAGAGACCATTTAACTGCCTCCCACCCGCCATATAGTAATATGACGGACGCAAGGCGGTTCTCTCGTTCTGGGAGGACGTCATTTGATGTCCTCCCATTCTAAACGCGCATGCGCGGCTCCCGGAGCGTGCAGCATGGCGATTGGCGGTGCGCTGTGTCTCTCGGACACAGCGGATCACTGATCCATGGAAAGAGCCAAAGATGTCGGCTCGGTCATGTGATCAGCTGTGTCCAATCACAGCTGATCACATGTAAACAGGGAAATGCCGGTTATCGGCATTTCTCTCCCCACGAGCTGTCACGCTGACAAACTCGTGAGGAGAGGAGAGCTGGTAATCGGCATTCCTCAGAGTGGACATGTACACAGATCATCAGAGCACTGATGATCAGTGTGCCCTGATGATCTGTGTAGCCACAGCAGCGCCACCTGTCAGTGTCCATCAGTGCCAGCTCTCAGTGCTCATCCATGCCACTTGCCAGTGCCCATCAGTGCCACATATCAGTGCCCATCTGAGCTGCCTATCAGTGTCAGTCAGTGCCACCTATCAGTGCTGCCAGTCAGTGCCACCTATCAGTGCCAGTCAGTGCCACCTATCAGTGTGCATCAGTGCCGCCTATCAGGGCCTATCAGTGCCGCCTAACAGTGCCAGTCAGTGCCACCTAACAGTGCCAGTCAGTGCTGCCTATCAGTGCCAGTCAGTGCCGCCTATCAGTGCCACCTATCAGTGCTGCCTATCAGTGCCATATATGAGTGCTGCATTTCAGTGCCCATCAGTGATGCCTGTCAATACCCATCAGTGCCACCTACCAGTGCCTCATCAGTGCCACCTATCAGTGTCCATCAGTGCCGCCTATCAGTGTCCATCAGTGCCGCCTATCAGTGTCCATCAGTGCAGCCTCATTAGCGCACATCAGTGAAGGAGAAAAATCACTTATTTACAAAATTTTATAACAAAAACTAAGAAATGTTTTATTTTTAATTTTCAGTGGTTTTTGGTTTAAGAACAAATAAAAAACCCACCAAAATAAAGCTCTATCTGTCACAAAAAAATGATAAAAATTTCATATGGGTACAGTGTTGCATGACCGCGCAATTGTCATTCAAAGTGCAACAGCTCTGAAAGCTGGAAATTGGCCTAGGCAGGAAGGGGGTATAAGTGCCCTGTAGGCTAGTGATTAAAGGCTTAGGAAACCTTTACAAGTGTTTTGAGTTAATTAGCTGGTTAGAGTGTGACAACATGAATCTACAGTATTGAACTTTTTCACAATATTCAAATTTTCTGAGATACTGAATTGTTTTGGTTTTCACTAGCTGTAAGCCTTAATAATCAAAATTACAAGAAAGAAATGCTTGAAATATATCACTGTGTGTAAGGAATCTATATAATATATGAGTTTCACTTTTTGAATTAAATTACTGAGAAAAATTAACTTTTTGATGATATTCTGATTTATTGAGATGTACCTGTGTGTGTGTGTATATATATATATATATTTATATTTTATTTATTCACTTACATAATTCTTTTCATTCCCTACTGTGACGCTGATGGCCCAGAGGGAGCTGATGAGTCAACAAGCCTTTATTCCCCCTCCTTCTGCTGGCGTTGGAGTTACATAGTTACAACGTACCATTTGTGACCATATAATGTGTTAATCGTTGCAATTTGGTTAATTCCATTTTATTTGTGTTCTGCTTTTATGTAACTGGGGATGTACCTCCTAAACCTTTATTCTGTGATCTACTCTTTTGAATGAGCCTAATATAGAGGTGTTACTAAAGAATCGTGTCTCTTGCATTATTATTTCATACTTTTGAAATATGTCTGAACCCAGAGTGTCAGAAGGCTTGCAAGGTCAGGGCAACCACTGGTGACAAGCATTATCAAACGGCCCCTGCACTACATATGTATGGACATGCTAGCTTGATTTACCGATTCCCGACCACGCTATAGTAGAACTACGGCTACAGGGCAGCAGGGCTGCGCAAAATCACATGTCATATATATATATATATATATATATATAAACATATACACACACACACACACACACACAAATGATTTTGCATTTCCGGTTAGGGGGGCGAACATGTGCCGCCATTGGAGACTACAGATGTCAATCACCAGGTCCCAGCCGAAGACTCCCCACCAGTACTCGGCGATCGCCGAGTATCACAGGGGAGAGACTTGTGTGTAAATAACACAGGCCTCTCTCCTGCCAGCAGTAACATTCTGCTGTGTGTACACAGCAGTATGTTTCTTAGTAAAACACACACAGTACACACAGTAAAACAGCACACAGTTGACCCTTTGATCACTCCAGATGTTAGTACAGTGTCAGTGCTTTTTATTAGCACTGATCACTGTATTAGTGTCATTGGGATGTCAGTGGCAGTTAGTCAGTTCCCCAGCAGTGTTAGAATGCCCACCGCAGTCCTGCTATAAGTCGCTGATCGCCACCATTACTAGTATAAAAACAAATAACATTTCCAGTATATGTACAATACCGCCATTTGTAGATGCTATAACTTTCATGTAAACCAATTAATTTATATGTATTGGGATTTTTTTTAGCAAAGACATGTAGCAGAATACCGTTTGACCTAAATTTATGAAGACATTTTTTTTTTTTTTTTTTTTTTTTTACTGAATGTTTTATAGCAAAAAGTCAAAAATATTGTTTGTTTTTTTCAAAGATTTTTTTGTTTATAGTGCAAAAAAATAAAAAAGCACAGGTTATCAAATACCACCAAAAGAAAGCTCTATTCGTGGGAAAAAAAGGACATAAATTTAATTTATGTACAGCATTGCATGACCGCGCAATTGTCAGTTCAATAACGCAGCACCGTATCGCAAAAAATGGCCTGGTCAGGGGGGGTTAAATCCTCTGGAAGGCAAGTGGTTAAACAAAGAATAAAAAAAATAGCAAACTGACCTATGTAATCTTAAATGTATGTCAGTCATAGGTAGTAAAAATAAAAGGAGCAGAATGTGAGCTCTGCATCTTAATCCATCTAGCTCCAGTAACTCAGTTCAAACTCTACACATAATCTAGCAAAAAATGACAAGCTCTGTTTCAGCTCCAGGCAATGAAGTCAGCGGCAAAGCCTTGTCAACTCTAGTCCCATCTGTCCCTGCTTACCCTTCTATTGGTTTGACAGACATTTTTTTCTACCCACATATCTTTAGACTTAGCCAACAGGACAATTCTGTTAGGGTTGGATTTGAGAAGAGTCTACATGGATGCAAGGTAGGGCTTACATGTCCAAACATTTGATGAAAAGATACTGAGAAACGGAGATTTAATTCATGTCTGTAATACAACACAGTTTTGATAATCTTGTGAGAACAGTGTGGGTATCAACTGTTTTAAGACTGTCAACATCTTGAGATTTACTGGTATTTACTTAAAGCAAACAGGCTGTTCACTTTGCAAGCAAAATTTCCCCAAGCTAAATGAAAGAGATGAATCTCTGCTGACTTCTTTTAATTGTATGCAAGTAAAAATACTGTCTTCTTATTCTCCTTGCACATTGTTGGGTACTCAGTGTTCGCTAAGCTAACATTTCCTTTCAAAGTGAGCAGCCTATTTGCTTATAGTAAATCAATCACATCAAGTATATTTTTGTGTTTTTTCTCTGATTGTAACCGTTGAGTTCAAAATACTATATAATCAGTTCAGTTTTGACTTACAAAAAAAGCTATGCTGTGAAGCTAATTTTTTTCATTTTAAACATGAGCTTTTTGCTAGTAAACTGTCCAATTAGCTCTTTGCTTAGCAATCATGTATCATCACATAAATGGGTACCTCCTGTACTGGCGATTAGAAGATGCCAACAGATTTTATAAGAAAGGTCAGGCTTACATAATTACGGAACTTTGGAAAATGATGGCTGTGCTTGTATAGATTGTATAAACCATACAGTATTCCCTATAAAGCATTCTGTATTAACCAGTAAAAAGGTGGATTTGTTGAAATGTAAACAGACTATATTGGTTTTGAATTTTATTACCATGTCCTGAAGCAGATGAACCTTCTTCAGATTGCCTTCTCTTATCATGCATCTGTATTAAAACAAACATTTAGGATATATGTTATTTACGCTCACCATCTTAAATTATCATAAAACAGGTGGAAGAATTTTAATGTATTCATGTGATTACCATACTTACACTGTACTCTTGTTAACTTTACAAATCTCCATGAATACATTTCTCACATCACAGTGTACAAAAATGTTGCACTAAAAAAATAGCAGCATTTATTATTAAAGTGCACACACTTTTCTCTACCCCAATCCTCTCCTGCATAACATAAAAAGCCCACTGTTTTTTTTTTTTCACATTTTTACTTACAATTATTTATTTATTTTAACCTCATGGTTGACCCATTCCATGACATCAAGCCTTCTCCTACAGCTTCCTGGGATAGACCACAGGAATCTTCCCAACAGTGCGGGAAGATTTATCTGGCTCTGCATCATCTGGGGGCTGGCTGCAAGAACCTAGAAGAGACAGCTGGCTCCCTATGACCATGAAAGAAAGATTGCAGCATGGGACAGTACATGCAGTGGAGGAACACTGGGGGAGAAAAGGACAAATCGAGAATTTCTGGGCTTGTCAGTATGCTTTTCCTGGATACAAAAGTAAGTGCAATTTTTAGAATGAATAAATTAGAAATAAGTTGATATGGGTGAAGGTACTCTTGATTATACAGCCATTAAGTGTTTTATGCCTAGGCATGAGATTATTTTATCAGTCTGTTGCAGGCAGCAGGAAATATTATCCTGCTTTTTGCATTCTCCTCTCCTGCAATGATCAGACTGTAACATTGTAGCAGGTCCTAGATTGTAAGCTCCTCCTATCCCTCTTGTATTGAACTGTATTGTTGCTGTATTGTCTCCCGTTATATTGTAAAGCGCTGAGCAAACTGTTGGTGCCATATAAATCCTGTATAGTAATAATAATAATAATAATAATAATAATGTCACATGACAAGAGGATGCAGCTGAGGCTGATCTGACATCTACTGTATGAACACAGCCCAAAAATGCACAAACCCCAGTATTTACAACAGTGGTGGTTACCTATTTAATATTGGGAGTCTCAAGTGTGATCCAAAAGACTGACGTGTTTTGAGGGGCAATCCCCTGTTCTTCGGAGTCCACTACACAACTCATGCATTTATAGAGAGACTAAACAGATCACATGGTATCCAGCGCCAGCCCCTCCTACCACTGGGTGGGTACTTGGCAAATACACTTCTCAAAAAAAAAAAGAAACACTTTGAAAACACATCAGATGGAGAAAAATCTCATGGGGAAAAATATCATGCTGGATATCTATAATGATATGTCCAGAGGAATGTGTTAGGAATGTAAGAATGCCCCATAATTTGATGAAAATGAAAATTATCGACCTACAGAGGACTGAAATCAAAGTGAAAAAATTATGCACCAAGCTGGTTCATTTTGCTGAAATTTTATTGCAGCAACTCAAAATGTGTGTTCTATTGGATTTAGGTCAGGCAAGCATGAGGGCCATTCAATGGTACCAATTCCTTCATTCTCCAGGACCTGCCTGCATACTCTCACCACAAGAGGCCGGGCATTGTCGTGCACCAGGAGGAACACAGGACCCACTGCACCAGCGTAAGGTCTGGCAGTGGGTCCAAGGATTTCATCCCGATACCTAATGGCAGTCAGGGTACCATTGTCTAGCCTGTAGAGGTCTGTGCATCCCTCCATGGATATTCCTCCCCAAGCCATCATGGACCCACCACCAAAACGATCATACTGAACAATGTTACAGGCAGCATAACATTCTCTATGGCTTCTCCAGATCCTTTTACATCTGTCACATATGCTTAGGGTGAACCTGCTTTCATCTGTGGAAAGCACAGGGCGCCAGTGGCAGATCTGCCAATTCTAGTGTTCAATGGCAAATGCCAATCGAGCTCTATGGTGCAGGGCAGTGAGTACAGGCCCCACTGGGAGGACGTCAGGCCCTCAAGCCACCCTCACGAGGTCTGTTTCTGTATGTTTGTCAGAGACATTCACACCAGTGGCCTGCTGAAGGTCATTTTGTAGGGCTCTGACAGTGCTCATGCTGTTCCTCTTTGCACAAACGAGCAGATACTGGTCCTGCTGATGGTTTAAGGACCTTCTACAGCCCTCTCCAGCTCTCCTAGAGTAACTGCCTGTCTCCTGGAATCTCCTCCATACTCCTTGAGACTGTGCTGGGAGACACAGTAAACCTTCTGGCAATGGCACAAATTGATGTGTCATTCTGGAGGAGTTGGACTGCCTGTGCAACCTCTGTAGGGTCCAGGTATCACCTCATGCTACCAGTAGTGACACTGACCTTAGCCAATTGCAAAACTAGTCAGCAAAGATGAGTAGGGAAAAAAATGTCAGTGGCTTCCACCTGTAAAACCATTCCTGTTTTGGGGATCGTCTCATTGTTGCCCATCTAGTGCACCTGTTGTTAATTTCATTAACACCAAAGCAGCTGAAACTGATTAACAACCCCCTCTGCTATTTAACTGACCAGATCAATATCCCAGGAGTTTAATTGACTTGATGCTATACTCTGATTAAAAAGCGTTCCTTTAATTTTTTTGAGCAGTGTATAAATTAATGAATACATGAGTCAGCCAACACTTTTAACACAGCCACAGATACAATTACATGGTATCCACATGATAATAGTAAATAGATGGATAACACAAACAAATTGATAAATAATAAATATAAGTGTGAAGATAAAAAGTGTAAAAAAAAAAAAAAAAAAAAAAATATATATATATATATATACACACACACAGTGAAGAACAGAAGTATTTGAACACCCTGCGATTTTGCAAGTTCTCCCACTTAGAAATCATGGAGGGGTCTGAAATTCACATTGTAGGTGCATTCCCACTCTGAGAGACAGAATTAAAAAAAAATTCAGGAAATCACATTGTAAGATTTTTAAATAATTTATTTGTCTTGCACTGCTGAACATAAGTATTTGAACACCTGAGAAAATCAGTGTTAATGTTTGGTACAGAAGCCTTTGTTTGCAATTACAGACGTCAAACGTTTCCTGTAGTTCTTGACCAGGTTTGCACACACTGCAACAGGGATTTTGGCCCACTCCTCCACACAGATCTCCTTTAGATCTGTCAGGTTTCGGGGCTGTCGCTGAGCAACACGGAGTTTTTCAGCTCCCTCCAAAGATGTTCTATTGGATTTAGGCCACTCCAGAACCTTGATATGCTTCTTACGGAGCCACTCCTTGGTTATCCTGGCTGTGTGCTTCGGGTCGTTGTCATGTTGGAAGACCCAGCCACGACTCATCTTCAATGCTCTGACTGAGGAAAGGAGGTTGTTGCTCAAAATCTCACAATAAATGGCCCCATTCATCCTCTCCTTAATACAGTGCAGTCGTCCTGTCCCCTTCGCAGAAAAGCACCCCCAAAGCATGATGTTACCACCCCCATGCTTCACAGTAGGGATGGTGTTCTTGGGATGCAACTAATTCTTCTTTTTCCTCCAAACACGACGAGTGAAGTTTAGACCAAAAAGTTCTACTTTGGTCTCATCTGACCACATGACTTTCTCCCATGCCTCCTCTGGATCATCCAGATGGTCATTGGCAAACTTCAGATGGGCCTGTCATTGACCAGCTCCTCCCTTGTAGTTCTGGGCTGATTCCTCACCTTTCTTATCATCAGTGATACCGCACGAGGTGAGATCTTGCATGGAGCCCCAGTCCGAGGGAGACTGACAGTCGTCTTTAGCCTCTTCCATTTTCTAACAATTGCTCCAACAGTTGATCTATTTTCACCAAGCTGCTTGGCAATTGCCCCGTAGCCCTTTCCAGCCTTGTGGAGGTCCACAATTTTGTCTCTGGTGTCTTTTGACAGCTCTTTGGTCTTGCCCATGATAGTAGTTGGCGTCTGACTGACTGTGGGCTGGACAGGTGTCTTTAAAGAGCTCAGACAGGTGCTACTAAGTTAGATTAATGAGTGGAGTAGAGGAGCAGAGGTGGACTTTTTAAAGGCACAGTATCAGGTCTTTGAGAGCCAGAATTCTTGCTGTTTCTTAGGTGTTCAAATACTTATGCTCAGCAGTGCAAGACAAATAAATTCTTTAAAAATCATACAATGTGATTTCCTGAATTTTTTTCTAAATGCTGTCTCTCAGAGTGGGATTGCACCTACAATGTAAATTTCAGACCCCTCCATGATTTCTAAGTGGGAGAACTTGCAAAATTACAGGGTGTCCAAATACGTCTGTTCCTCACTGTATATATATATAAAATATGGTTAAATATAAATACTAATAATCGTCATGACCCTCAAATTTAAAATATCCATATATAGCAGCAAAACAAGAGTTCATAGCTTACCCCTACCCTTGTCCTGTGATAAGATACGGTAGCCAGGCGGGCTGGTAATTGTAACACTTAGGGGACTTAAAGCTCCTACAAGTTCAGACTTTGCTAAAATCCATTCAAGGGGACTGCAAGTTGCTGTACTTTGATAAAGAGACTGTCAAGGTTCCAGCTGGACCACAGTCATTCATCTGCCATTTTAGTATTTTCTAGAGAAGGAAATTGTCCTCAAATTGTTATTCTGCAATCAAATTGGGAATCCCAGAACCCCTACAGTTAAATTCCCTAATAAACCTTTAAAACCAAGCCCATGGACTGTTTCTTTTCTTGTGTTTGGATACAAGTGGAAAATGTGTGTTGCCTGGCTGTGCAGGAAGTAAAGGGGGACACAAAGCCAGCGTCTCTCCAGGGCGTAGCACTACACAGTATAAGCATTTTTCCTAATGGAAGAGGGGGGAAGAAAGGGAGGACAGTTGTCAGGAGATTTTCAAATCTACAGCCGCTGCTCTTAACCCATGCAACACCATAAGTTTGCAGCTGTGAGGAGAATCTAACATCAGTGAAGGGTGGATTTCTACAAGAAGAAGCAGCCAGCAGGACACAGGACGCTTTTCATTAAAGGTAAGTTATGTCCCTGGTGCCATATACCAAAAAATGTAAAGATCACCGTGTAGCTCTGCAAA